TTATTTTTATTATTTAAAGTATTCAGATCTGAAGATAAAAGTATAAAATAAATAATACTTATTTATAGTAAAAAAAATGAATATAAAAATAAATAAATAAAATCTATTTTAAAATATATACGAGTTAAATAGAATTAATTAACTTAATTTATATCTCCAAAAAATAACTAATTATAAATTAATAATTATAAATAATATAAATAATAATATAAATAATGATAAAAGAGAATAAGTAAAATTATTAAAGAAAATATTTAATTAAAAATATTAATAATCTAAATTAATAATATAGATATATATGATAATTATCTGTATAATAATATACTAAATCTAATATATTAAATATATAATAATCATTTGTATATTCAGAATAAAATTAATTTTCAAGAAAAAGTAATATAAAACTAATCTATAATATAAATAGTGCAAAATAAAGATCTAAACTAAAAGAAAAATAACTTAATTAAAATCATTATATTAAAATAAACTTTATAATTTATAATTTAATATATTTTTTTTAATTTTTTCTAAAAATATTTTTTTAATTATTAAGTTAATATAAAAAATTTTAATTAAAAATAAAGTTTAATTAATTAAATTTTTATATTAACTTTATAATTAGAAAAATATTTTTAAAAAAATCTAAAAAATATATATTAAATTATAAATTATAAAATTTTTTTAATATATAAATAAAAAAATTTTAATAAAATAAATTTTAATAAAATTTTAATATAAAGAGAAATTTTTAATTTTATTATATTTTATTAATAAATTTAACTCTAATATATTATTTATAATTATTATTATATAATTTTATTTATAAATATAAATAAATTTATTATTTAAATTTAATTATAATAATTTTTTATTATAAATTATTTTAATAAAATTTATAATTTTAAATAAGAGTTATAATTTTATTTATAATTATTTTATATAATTTTTACTAAAAATTTTAATTTTATTTAAATAAAATTAAAATATTTTATTTAAATAATTATAATATATTTTATAAATAATAATATTTTATTATAAACTATCTTAAGAATTATAATTTTATTTATAATTAAAAATAAAAAATAATTTATTTTAAATATTAAATAATTTAATAAATAATAAATTATTTTTATTATTTTATATAAAATTATAATTTAAACTTGAACTGGACTTAAACTTAAAAAAATTTGATTCAAGTTAGTTTAATTTTTTAAATCTATTTTAAACTTAAATTAAGTTTAATTTAAAACTTTAAATCAGATTTAAATTTAATAAAAAATTTAATTTAATATTCAATTAAAAATATTATTTAAATAAAAAAATTATTTATTTTATTTTATTTTTATATAATTTAAAAAAATATAATTATATCTTTTTATAATTCTTTTTAAATTTTTTAATTATTAATTAAAAAATTTTTTAATAATTATATCTTTTTATAATTATCTAATTTTATTTTTTAAGAATAATTAATATAAAAAGATTTAATTATATTATTATAATATAAATTTTTTATATATAATTTATTAATATTAATTATTTTATATTCATATTTTTATTAGATAATTATTTAGTTATATTTTATTAGATAATAATTAAGATAATATTATTAGTAAATATTTTGAAATAATTTTATAAGCATAATGATCATAACAAAATTATTATAGTAAAGTTAATAAAACTATATTATGATAAAACTAATATTATAATATTAGTAAAAGTAATATTTAGATTATAATAAAAATATTATTTGTAAAACTTCTAAAATATATAAAAGTAATATATCTTAAAAAAAAAATAAAAATTAATAAAATAAATTAAAAATAAAAAAGATAAAAATTAATAAATAAATAATAAAATAATAATTAATAAATAATTAATAAATTAATAAGTTAAATAATAATAAGATAAAATAATAATTAAATATAATAATATTATAAATTAATAATCTTTATTAATAATATCTTATTTATTATAATACATTTTTTATATTATGATTTCAGATCATATTCTAGCTGATTATATTATAAATATATTCTTGTTACCTATCTTTAATCTCATTATAATTATAATTTAATACCTATTATATTATATCTTAATTATATTAGTCTCTTCTACTTGTAATTAATAATATCTTTATTATATCTTATTCTGATCAAATATTATATATAAAGTTATTAACCTATTACAAAATAATCATTTCAAGAGATATCAAAAATGGTAATAATATATTATTTAAAAAATATATTTATTTAAAATTATAATTAAAATATATATTTAAAATAATAAATAAAATAATAAATTAAATTAAAGAAATTTATTTATAAATTTTAAAAGAATATAATATAAATATTTATTTTTTCTATTAATTAGAATTTGTTAAAAATAATAATAAAAATTGCAATTTTAATTGATTATTATAATTATATAATATAACTAGTCATATTTATATTTAATAATTTGAACTAAATAATTTAGAATAATTTAAATTAAAAGATGAAATATAGAAAAATCTTTTTTATAAGTGAAATATATAAAATTAGAATTATTAAATCATGTAAAAAATTAAAATTAATAAATAAAATTAATATGAATCAAGATTCAAATAATTTGAAAAATTTATATATTTTTCAAAATTACATATTAAAATAAAATTATACTAAAAATAAAAAAATGAAAAATATTTTTATTATTGATTGATAATAGCAAAAATATTTTTACAGCTTATTATATAGCAAAATAACTCAAAATAGAGTTTTGACAATAGAAAAAAATATTTATTATCTTTATTCCTTACTTTTATGATATATTTAAAAAAATATGCTATATAAACTTTTTTTAATAATATTTTTGCTTAAAATTGTACTTGAATATTGTTAAAAAAGACATCTAATTATATTATGTTAATAATTCATTGTTATTATCATTATAACGATATTGTATAACGATGAAAATAACTCAATAACTCCTTTTTATTAGAGACAATAGAAACTCGAATAGCCCAAGCAAGAAACTGTCATCTAATTCTGAAACGAAAGCTCCTTGAAATACATTGTACATCTATATCGACATGTATACAGTGAACAACAAAGTTGATTTTTATTGGACTTAAGTCTATTTGATAATAGTGATACTATTACAGAGCCATAAATAAAGCACAAATTTCAAGACAAAGAGAGAATGTTTAACATTCAAAGAATTCAACTTTTCCGATTGGCCAAGAATTGAGAGTTAAAGTTTTGTGCAAATTTTGGATTGAATAAATACATGTACTTGGTTAAAGATAAGTCGAAATATTCTTTACTTGGCCTTTCCTTACTTTTACAAATTTAATAAAAACAAAAAAACAATATTTTGAATTCACGCAATAAACCTTAAAAAACAAAAAAAACCATCGACAACATGAGTAAACAACGACCTCAAAACAACAACAAATCTTTACCACAAAAAGGAAGCAAAAAAGACACCAAAGACATTTTGGGTTTGCTCTCACAAATAAAAAAAACTATACGGCATTCGGACGTTCAGTATCAAAATATTTTGATATGCCTAAAAACGAAAAATACGGGGAGTTGGTCGATGTTCGCAAGAGCTCAAACGACACTTTTGCAGACTATTGGAAAAGGAAAATAATAATTTGATATTATACCAAAATTTTGGATAGCATTTTCAAGAAATCTAATTTCGATTTCAGTTATTAAAATTTGTAGAAAATCTGTTGCTTTGATAGCAGCAATATTTATTCCTGTATTAACGTTAATATCGATATGTACTAGCGCTAGCGATGGGCACATACAACGTAAATAGTAAATTAAAGGTCACGTGTTGATGTAACCTGATCCCCATTTTATCCTCTTTTACAACTAATATCTTGCCAGCGATATTTAATCAGTAAACTCATGCGTTTACAACCTTTATAGTGACACTTTATTCCAATAAAATGTATCCTTATTATTTGGAAGTTTTAATAGAAGTGGACTGAATTATTTGATCACATTGTTTTATAAAATCCTGATTTTGATTAATTCATTAAAAATTCGTGTTAAGGTTAGAAAAAGATAGAATGAATTACGCGTGATAAAAAATATTTAAAGTTTGTATTACCTGTAATTCATTAGTCGCTTGCTTTTCGCCAATTCCTTCTGGTCCAACTTTGCTGTATATTAGATCTGACATATTACCATTGATCCTATAATAATATATGATAATTAATTACATACAAAGAAATAGGGAAAGAACTTATTTGAGCTAAAGGCAAAAATAAAATACCTTTCGATATCCTTTATAAATTGATCACACTCACGTTCCATTCTATCCAACTCACTTTCTAAATCTTTCTCAGCCTTACATAATAATTTCACAGCATCAGGTAACGATATTAACCGCACGCCCACATCTTCTTCCTCCTGATCTTCTACATCTTCAAAGGATTCTTTCGATAGTTCTCCTATTGTCTCTTCCTCATTGATCTAATACGAATTAAATAAATAAGACGCGAATTGTTCTTAAAATATAAATAAATATAATAAAGAAAAGCTTATCGTACATTCTCTCTGAATTCTTCATCATCCAAGTCCATTGGTTCTCCCACATCTTCATCATTGTTTTCGTCGTTATCATCACCATTATCATTTTCATTTCTTTGTCCTATATTACCATCCTCTCTTTTATTATCAAAATGAATTTTGATATTCTCTTGAACTTTGGTCGATAGTCCTTTTCGAAACGCGCAAAATTCTTTATATAAAAGTTTAACCTTCGGATTTGTTCTTGATTAAAAAATTTAAGAATTCACATGTTTCAAGTTATATATCTTATTAGCAGCATAGTTTTATTGAGGAAAACCTTACTTACTACGCCTAAAACTATCACTTATATATGTATACCACACCTATGCTTCCGAGGAAAGTTACTAATAAATTCTTGTAGTGTTATTGCGTCTTCTATTCTGTCGAGCCCTGCTACATTATTATCTAACAGAAAGGAAGTTACAAGGTTTTGTGTTTCCTCCAATAAAGAAGGTTTTCGTGATGTACTTGTAATATTGCTGCTATTTCTCTTTGTTCTTGGAGGCATAATTTGTCAAAATTTAATAAAATTGTAAACACCCTGATAATTCTAAATTATCGATTATCGGATGATCAAAACACGCGTTCATACTTTATTAGTGATATTTTTGATGAATTGTTCGATCCATTTTAAATTTCGCGTAATTTTTTGAAAAATTTCTTTCCGTTTATAATTTAAATACGGAACTAGATTTATTCGTGTCTATAGTCAGAAATATTTAAGATTAATATAATTTCGCTTAATTAGGTAAATTTTTACATAACCTTATTATTCTATAATAGATGTAAAAAAACAAAAAAAAATAGTAATAACAATTAAAGCTAACCCTAATATACCTTATCAAATACTAATGTTCTATTCTTTTACACACACAAAACGTTTGTCTCATTTAGTCATTTCCTTTTACAACACCTACCTGCGGCGATCTAATTACCCTTCCGTTTAACTTATATCCAATTTTTTGAACTGTAAAAATTGTTCCCTCTTCTTTACCCTCTACCGGGGATTGGAACATCGCTTCATGCACATTCGGATCAAACTTCTCGCCTAGCGGGTTAATCTGCTCGACCCCATAATTTTTAAGTGTCTTTAAAAGATCTTGTTCGGTCATTTTGACTCCCGTATAAAGATTATGAAGGTGTGGATTTTCTTTTTCCGCGTTTTCTAGCGCTTCTTTTGGAACTGAATTCAGAGCTAGATTTAGAATGTCGGCGGTGTTTAGTAGATCACGAGCGAATTTTTGGATTGCAAATTGTGCAGTATGTTCTATTTCTCGACGCGTACGTTGGCGAAGATTTTCTTGGTCGGCAAGCACTCGAAGATAATTATTCTTTATGATAGTTGGAATATATTAATAAATGTAGGATTATTAATTCATCATTTTTGTTCGAAATGTTAATTGAAATCATGATCAAATTTGATGGAACAGATAAAAACAGCTTTTCATATAATTCATTACAAATTAAAAATCAAAGAAAATTTATTTACAAATTCTATATAATTTATAAAATTATAATAAAATAATAAATTTTTATA